ATCTGCGAGCATAGGGCTTGTATACCAGTTGTCTGTGAACAATATATGACCTTTGCCAAGGTATGGCCTCATCATCTTGCGAACAACATCCCCAGAAATGCCCAACAGGCACCTGGTATTGCTGAGTGCATTTTTCCCTGTGTAGATAATGACATCCCTCACAAGACCAGTCTCACAGTAACACATAACAAAGAGTTTTATACCAAAGAGATTACGGTTGCTTGGTATATATTATTTGAATGACAGTCGTCCCTTGAACAGAACCAAGGACTCGTCGACAACAATGTTCTTGAATGGATAAAAGTAGGCACTGAATTTTTGCTTCATATACATAAACAATTCCCAGATTTTGTATAAGAGGTCATTTCTGCTTGGCGTATTCCTGTCTGAGAAGTGCAACATTCGTAGCAACAGAGTGAATCTGTTGCAGAGAAGGAGGTCACGGAAGACTGGAGTACTGATGAAGTGGTCTGTGGACCAGTAGTGTACTATATTGTTCTTATATGTGTGTGGCCTAAGCATGACAGTGCCAAGGAACAAATACATTTCAGCCACAGTTGTATCTTTCCACCTGCACAGCCATGAAGACTCTGAAACAACTGTGTGGTCCATTGTATACTCGTAGTACATGTTGGTATGGGTAACAATTAGGTTCATTATCGGCTCATCAAAGTATAGCTGAAAATAGTCTAACTCTGTAGACTCATTTGTGATGGGACAGTGTGGCATGATGCCACTTCCACTGGCATCAAAATTGAAAGGATGTGGCACAAATGGTGTACTTTCTGTCCAGTTCCATTCGCAATCAGATGGTGCAGGGTGGACCTGTGGCATGGGGCATGGGGGAGTAGGAGGGGGACAGGAGTGGAGGCAGCACATGGTTGAGAGGGTGCCGGGCGATCCTTTGTCTGCCCACGCACTGCACCACGAGGGCCAGGCACCATGCCACCCCCCTCTTCCTCCATCCCAGCATATTCACTTTCATTATCACTATCACTATCACTATCAGTGGCTGGGGTTTTGAATTGTGACCTGCCACGACCCTTGCCGCCAACTACATATGGCACACTGCCTGAACGAAGGTTATGATGCCTAAAAGTACGTTTCACTGGGGAATAATGATAATCACTTTCACTTGATGAATTGTCTATCGGTATAAAATCAATTTCATCATCGTCACTTATATCACTTTCACTATCGTCATCACCAAAATGCATGGAAAATGATAATTTCTTCCTGTGGAGTTGCCTTTGGGAAGTAACACTAGCAACCCCAGAGGTGCTGGACTGAGGGTCTGTTGTGGCCACACTGGCCACCTCTGAAGTGCTGGGCTGAGGGTCTGGTATGGCCACACTATCCACAATGGCCACCCCAGAGATCATAGCCTGAGAGTCATCTGGGTTATTAAGAAAAGTTTAACTAATACCTTGATCACTAGTGGCTATATCGGAGTCAGAACCACTAAACTTGTGTTCTGTATCACTTTCCAAGAATAGTAGAGTGTTAATACGACGAGGTGTCAGTGAATCACGGGGGTTTGCCATGATGTCGACCCAAGATGGAGCTGAAACTAACTGGTGTTACCACACGGTACCCCAGCATCCCCAGTTTTTTTCATAGTGTAAACATCCATTCTCTCATGTCTAAGCAACTCAGGCCTATCGCACCAATTTTGAAGGAATGAAAAATAAAATGTTGATCCATGTTCAGAGCCCGCCACACGTGAACATATATCTATGTGTGGACAGTTTAAGGGTTAATATGTTGGGCAACTGCCCTTCTGATGTTCTTTTCTTTGTTTCTTTTTCACCACTAATACCTTAGTCTGGCTCACTGGTTCTTTGTCTCACTAAAAACCTGTCCAAAGAGGTTTGCTTCAGGCTTCATTTTAACACTTGTCGACACTGAGACATTACACTGTCACTGTACATGTTAGAGAGATAGATAGCCACTACTTTGTCTGGATGGTATTTTTCAGCAAACTCCTGCACTTCATGCCATTTGGCACACATTTCCTTGACAAGTGCAATGGGCACATCATCCCTTCCCTCCTCTTGCTCTGATGACAGTTCACAAGATGCACAACAAAAGCTCAAGAGATGTTTACAACACGACTCACAATATCATAATGACATGATTGCAAACAAACCACAGTACGGGTGGAGAGTGAACTTGCAGCTTGTGAGTCTTAAAACCCCAGATGTGGCTAACACGCCAGTCTGGAGTTCATGGCTCACTAGCCGTGAGTTCAATTCTGCCTGTACCGTGGTTGGTTTACAGCATGCGAGTTGGTGGCTATAGTGACTCATACCCACACTGTCGACCCACTGCCCAGTGTGCATTCTGTGAGAACATGATCTGAGCCACTTTGTCCCGTTCTAGCAGTCTGTCAACAACCAAGAAAATGCACGAAAACCAGGACTTTTTTCTCAAACACCTCTTTTGAAAACCGATTTATTCGACAACTAATGCAATCGACTACCAAAGTTCCACTGTAATTGTTTTAGGGATAAATATCAATGAGGACATTTAACTTAATTGTGATTAGAGTTTTGGTGATAGGTAATACTGTACATGCTTTTAGAAGAGGATAAAGAGGTAATATTGTACATGCTTTTAGAAGAGGATAGAGAGGTAATACTGTACATGCTTTTAGAACAGGACAGTTTATCAATGGATGCAAAATGAAGAATGTACCAGAGCACATACAGTGGTGGCAACAGTTCTGAATGGGTAAGAGGCATGGATTCTGCATTTTGCACTGAAGGGGTAACTATAGACAGTGAAGATGCCATCTTGAGATTTATATGAACACACACGTGCAACATATGGAGAATTTTTATTTAAGAAACATTTCACTCTCGAGGTACTAGGCTAGTAAACAGCACAGGGAGGGGTACTACCATCCTGCCAAGTGAGTGTAAAACAGAAGCCTGTACTTGTTTTACGTGATGGAAGGATTGCTGGTGTCTTTTCTGTCTCATAAACATGCAAGATTTCAGGTACATCTTGGTACTTCTACTTACACTTAGGTCACACTACACATACATGTACAAACATATATATACACACACCCCTCCGGGTTTTCTTATAATTTCTTACTAGTTCTTGTTCTTGTTTATTTCCTCTTATCTCCATGGGGAAGTGGAACAGAATTCTTCCTCTGTAAGCCATGCATGTTGCAAGAAGTAACTAAAATGCTGGGAGCAAGGGGGCTCGTAACCCCTTCTCCTGTATAAATTACTAAATTTAAAAAGAGAAACTTTTGTTTTTCTTTTGGGGCCACCCTGCCTCGGTGGGATATGGCCAGTTTGTTGAAAGAAGAAACATTTCACCCACCAGGAGCTCACTGGATTTAAGAAGCTCCTGGTGATCAGAATAAGCAAAAAGATCCCAATATGTTGCATATGTCTTCTTCATGCATCTGACTGTACTAGTTACTTTGTGTGATTTACAGTACATTCAGCTTTGAGATCAATGTGTGGTGTGAATTTTTTTTAACACACTGGCCATCTGCCACTGAAGAAAAGTGACACCTTCACTCATTCAACTGCTCTGTTGCCAGAATCATGCTGACATCACAGTTTGGATAGCCCTCCAAACTGCAACATCTTCACCCTTCTTTCACAATTCAGATACTGTACTGTACTTCCCACCTCCAGGACAAAAGTTTGGCTAAATGCTTCCCTTAAATCTCTTCATGAATGCTACCTTGCTCACACTCTAAACATACATCGTCATAAAAACCATTTTCCTTAACTCATTACAATCCAAAATTCACACATGTTGGATGTTCGAGCCTCTGGCACTCAAAACCTCCTTTACCCCCCCTCCAACCTTTCCTGGAAAAAACCCTACCCCTCCTTCCCTTCATCCCAGATTTATATATGTACCCTTCTACTCATCCTATTTTGCTCCATTCTCTCCAAATGTTCAAAGCACCTCAACAATACCACCTCAGCCCTTTGAATTATACTTCTGATAACCCTACACCTAATCTTCAAGTTCTAAATTCTCTGCATAATATTCACACCATATATTACCCTCAAACACAACATCCCTACTACCTCCAGCTACCTCGTTGTTGCAATGCTGAATTATGAAACAGTTATCCTTTTTAAAAAATGCACATCAAGGAAAATATTAAGTGAAAAACGTGCAGTTTAAGGCCAAATATTACAGGACTACAAAGGCATTCAGTGCAAATTACTGAACATCACACACGAGCTTGCAAAAAAGACAGTGGTATCCTAACTTACTTGATAATGTCACCATTTAATGGAAGCACTCATTATCTTGTACGTCTAACATCAAAGAGGATATGTAAAAATATCCAAATAATTGACAGTTCCTAGCCCTAACACTAATAAAAATACTGCAGAACAGAGTTAGAAGTTTTTAAGAGAAAACAGGATCAATATTTCCTGCAAGTGTTTGATCAGTCTGGTTGTGATGGCAACATGGGCCTATATCTTCTAGTCGTTCAGTTGTGACTTGACAGTGGTCCAGGATGGACCAAAATGACGTTTAAACTTTCATCTCCATGTGAAGTTTATTTGTGGATAGAGTATAATAATATTAACTAGATTTTAAGTGAAGTTTGACTTTGAAGGGCACCATACATAGAAACATAGGCACCTCATATGACATTATTATTATACAGGAGCCAACTAATGCTGCTTTTGCCTCTCAAATATTTTATGCCTCCAGGTAGATAGGCAGCATGTATTTCCTGCATTATGTAAATAAACCTTTATTTTATCCCCGCAAACTTTTATGGCCCTCTTTATGCAAACTTTAAATGCTTACTTTGTCTATTAATATGTATTAAGAGATTCAGTACATACTGCTAAGAACAAAGTAAGTTCATAGAATTGTGTGAAGATGAAAGCATCGGGAACAATACGTGTACTTTATCTGCATTTTATATAACCAAGTGCTCCTGGTGACTAGAAATTAGTACCACTGTCTTCTGCTCAGCCACTTAATATTTAACCTACCAATCAGCACACATCGCAACATCAAATTTTCCCTGGGGTGGCGAACCTTCTTCTTGGGCCCCCCAGCGAAGTACTCTGGAAATAAGATGTTCTTTGCTTTTCTGGCTGCCTATTGATGCTGTTAATAAAACTCCATAATTTTTCTCTGCTGTTTAGTAATATTTATTTGCAATTAATTCTAGAGATTTCATGCACAAGTAATATGCATAATTCTACAGCAATCACTTGCATCATCAAAAATTATAAAGCAGTTTTTCATACCATAATATTTGCAATTTTTTTATTTGAAGTACTGTACATCAGATAAGGCATTGAGCAAAATGTTAGTTGGGTAAAAATGGATCAGCAAGAGGTATCATTCTAAACACAGTGGTAGAATAAATTACACACTGTCAAGAGAAATATATACTCAATCTAAAAATAATCTCAGACACCAAGAGCTATGTTTTAGTGATATGAAGCAGAGTGACGGTGGATGCATTTCACTGAGTCCCGCCGCCTTGGTGGAAAACAAATGATGGATAAAAAAGCACTAAAACACCTTCACTGTAAACAAAACCCTTCTACCAAACTATATATTTATACAGAGAAAAGAAATGCCCAACTATATGAAGACCTTTATGCAACATCTATATGAAAGAGGAAAACACTAAAAAAAATATATATAAGGTAATTATGCAATAAAAATATAAACAGCTGAACAAACTTTAAAGTGGAGTGTCACACAAACAGAAACATCAGTACAACAGAGCTTTGAACTTGTGAGTTCTGTATTTAGAAACACTACTGCTGCTGCACTGAGGCTGAGACTGCAAGCTGTATTCACTAAATTTTTCTCTCAATAGTCTATTTACCTCATAATAGTTAAGAGAAATCACACAAAAAAAATTTACATGTTATATCACTATTATTTTATGAATTGCCACATATGAAAAAGAACATGTTAATGGCAAAAACATAAACAGAGCATATCTTTCATTAGTCGCACACCATTTACATATCATCAATAATAAAACAAAAATTCTAAATTCAAACAAGATAGAGATTATTAAAAAAAAAATCACTTGAAGATTACTCCCTTTACTCTTGCTCAAAGAAACCAGTGAAAAATAGTAAATATGTTATATGCCAATACGTACAGTAATACTACAGTATTAAGTACTGCTTTCACACACTAAACTTTAACTTCATATGTTTTAAACATCAAACATATATAACCACTCACCTAGCACAAGTTTCAGAAGGTAAATCATTCCTCTGTAAGGACACTTTAACATTATTGACAGACAGGGCATTGCCATCTGTTAGCACTATTTTGGATGGCACCCCACTAGCTGCAACCTGTCAAACAAAGAGAGAACATGGAAATCATGTAGTTTTGTTTGCTTTTTATTTTACTTACAAAACACTAGAACCATTTGGCTATTTTGTACTTTAACCCTTTGACTGTTTTGGTCGTATATATACGTCTTACGAGCCAGTGTTTCAGAAGTACAGTGGACCCCCGCATAACGATATTAATCCGTTCCTCAGAGCTCATTATTATGCGAAATTATCGTTATGCAAATGAATTTTCCCCATAAGAAATAATGGAAATCAAATTAATCCGTGCAAGACACCCCAAAGTATGAAAAAAAAAATTTTTACCACATGAAATATTAATTTTAATACACACAAACTGAAAAAGGCATGCACAGTTACATGACACTTACCTTTATTGAAGATCTGGTGATGACTGATGGGATGGGAGGAGGAGAGAGTCTTAGTGTTTAGAAGGGGAATCCCCTTCCATTAAGACTTGAGGTGTCAAGTCCTTTTCTGGGGTTACTTCCCTTCTTCTTTTAATGCCACTAGGACCAGCTTCAAAGTCACTGGACTTCTGTCGCACAACATATCTGTCCATAGTGGCCTGTACCTCTCGTTCCTTTATGACTTCCCTAAAGTGTTTCACAACAGTGTCAGTGTAATAGTCACCAGCACGGCTTGCAATAGCTGTGTTAGGGTGATTGTCATCAAAAAAGGTTTGCACTTTAAGTAACATTCCACACATTTCCTTAATCTTTGAAGTAGGCAACTTCTTCAATTTCTCTCTCCCCTCCTCCGAACCAGTTTCCTCAGGTCTGGCCTCTTGCTGTTGAAGTTGATCTAGCAGCTCATCAGTGGTTAGTTCTTCATTGTCCTCCTCCACCAACTCTTCCACATCATCCCCACTAACCTCCAACCCCAAGGACTTTCCCAATGCCACAATGGATTCCTCAACTGGCATACTCCTTTCAGGGTTAGCCTGAAACCCTTCAAAATCCCTTTGATCTCCACATTCTGGCCACAGTTTCTTCCAAGCAGAGTTCAAGGTCCTCTTAGTCACTCCCTCCCAAGCCTTACCTATAAGGTTTACACAATTGAGGATATTAAAGTGCTCTCTCCAACACTCTCTTAGAGTCAATTGAGTTTCTGAGGTCACTACAAAGCACCTTTCAAACAGAGCTTTTGTGTACAGTTTTTTGAAGTTTGCAATAACCTGCTGGCCCATGGGCTGCAGGAGAGGAGTGGTATTAGGAGGCAAAAACTTCACCTTAATGAAGCTCATGTCCCCATAAAGACGCTCTGCCACGTCTGTAGGATGACCAGGGGCATTGTCTAACACCAGGAGGCACTTAAGGTCTAATTTCTTTTCAGTTAGGTAATCTTTCACATTGGAGGCAAATGCATGGTGTAACCAGTCATAGAAAAAGTCCCTAGTGACCCATGCCTTACTGTTTGCCCTCCACAGCACACACAAATTAGCCTTGAGGATATTCTTTTGCCTGAACGCTCTGGGAGTTTCTGAGTGATACACTAATAAAGGCTTCACTTTGCAATCACCACTAGCATTGGAACACATTAACAGAGTAAGCCTGTCTTTCATAGGCTTATGTCCTGGGAGTGCCTTTTCCTCCTGAGTAATGTAGGTCCTGCTTGCATTTTCTTTCCAAAACAGGCCTGTTTCATCACAATTAAACACTTGTTCAGGTTTCAGTCCTTCAGTTTCTATGTACTCCTTGAATTCCTGCACATATTTTTCAGCTGCTTTGTGGTCCGAACTGGCAGCCTCACCATGCCTTATCACACTATGTATGCCACTATGCTTCTTAAATCTCTCAAACCAACCTTTGCTGGCCTTAAATTCACTCACATCATCACTAGTTGCAGGCATTTTTTTAATTAAATCCTCATGCAACTTCCTAGCCTTTTCACTTATGATCACTTGAGAGATGCTATCTCCTGCTATCTGTTTTTTCATTTATCCATACCAATAAGAGTCTCTCAACATCTTCCATCACTTGCGATCTCTGTTTTCGAAAACACAGTTGAACCTTTGGCAAGAACAGCTTCCTTGATTGCCGTTTTGTTGCCCACAATAGTAGCGATGGTTGTTTAGGGTTTATTATACAACCTGGCCAGCTCGGAGACACGCACTCCACTTTCATACTTAGCAATGATCTCTTTCTTCATCTCTATAGTAATTCTCACCCTTATTGCTGTAGGGTTGGCACTAGAAGCTTTCTTGGGGCCCATGGTCACTTATTTTGCAGATAAAATCACCAAAAACACTGTAATAATACGAAATGTTCCGATTGTATGCTTGGATGTTACCGCGGAGGCTGGCTGGTAAACAATGCCACCGGCAGAACATGTGAGGCTGGCTCAGGCCGCACATTAGACGCGTCTCGGACGAACAGCGTTGAGCGGGTTTTTTAGCGGTATGCGAGGCAAAATCTTAGAGATAAAATGTATCGGTATGCGGATTTAACGTTATGTAATGCCAACGGTATGCGGGGGTCCACTGTATATATACTCAATAATTATAGCGGCTTCAGATCAAGCAGGTGAAAGTTGGTAGACTCACATGTGAGAGAATGGGTCTGTGTGGACAGTGTGCACCACATAAGAAAAATCCTGCAGCATGCAGTGCATAATGAGAAAAAAATTTACCGTTTTTTTTTTTGGATTAAAATGCCGAATTTGAGGTGTATTTTCGTATGGTATTCATCATCGTATTCTCGTTTTCATGGTCTCACGTGAAAAAATGGAAACCATATTGCAGAAATAGAGATGATTTTGATTAGTTTCATGATGAAAATGACCTTGAAATTGAGCTCAAAGTAGCGAAAATGTTCGATTTTTGCCAATGTTCATGAGTAAGCAAATCACACCACACGTCCAATACACGTCAACTGGGGAGTCTAATATTCTTTCACTAGTGCACTGATATTATTTATACCATTTTTACAACAATGCAGTAGTCTGCATAACAGTAAATTTTGTATTTTTTGTATGAATAAAAAATCAAAATAGAAAGCATTAGTAATATAAGAGGGGCCTAGAGACATGAGTAATGAACAGAGGATATGTTATTTTAGTGCCAAGAATGTCTACACTGTTTATTCTGGACCCTGTTTTGAAATTGGCACCTTTTTTAATTTGCATGAAATTGGTCAAATTGCCAATTTCTGACCACTTTATTGGGTAGTTCAAATCAGTAAATGGGCAGTTTCTTGTACTCAATTGATACAAAAAATGGAGTTCTAAAGAAATAGCTATGAGTTTGGTCAACTGGAACAATGGAACTGGCCAAAAACAGTGTTCAAATTCGGCAAAATTGCCAATGCGTATATGTCGCTGAGACCGCTAACTTCACGGGAGCATAATTCCATGAGTTTTCGACCAAATTTCATACTTTTGGTGTCATTATCATCGGGAAAAGACTCTATCATTTCAAAAGAAAAATAATTTTTTTTTTTCCAAAAATTTTGCGACATAGAATGACAGTTTCAGAAAGGGGCTTGTGACCGACATAGAATGACAGTTTCAGAAAGGGGCTTGCGACAGTCAAAGGGTTAAATGTATTCTGTTTCTAACATTATCAGATTAACACTATCAATAACCCTTTCAATGGGTGTCAAGTACAACTACATCACTGAGGCCTGGGTCTTTCATGTAGTTTTCCTGCGCACATGCCACTCAAACACCATCCCCATGTCAGAGCATGAAAATCATGAAATAACTGCATAATTATTCTGTTAAATAATTTTTGCAGACAGCAGTTCTGAACTATCATTTTACCTGTGTCTAAGTAACAAGTTACAATTTACACTTGCCAGCATCTCTAACAAATTACAGGAGGGCACCATTATATGGTGAGTTAGGCTCCAGGCTACTACTGTAAAGCAGAAATCATTGTAAAGTGAATCATACTTTTTTACTCATGATGCTTCATGTTCACACTATCATGCATCAAGTTAGCAATAGAACTAGGCATTAAAAACAATTAAAATATAAAATACACATACAATACACTCATTACTTACCTTAAAATATTTGTAGTCTTAATGTAGGGTGAGAGGTGAGTAGAATTTACTGTAGGAAGTCAGATGTGGGTGATATGGTAACTCGCCAGTAGGGAATTGCTAATTGATAATCTTGAGGTTAATGATGAGCTTGGGGAAAGTGATCACAAATCACTCAGCTTTAGTATATCATGGAATTACCCTAATAATGGCAATCAAGTCTCTGTCCCTGACTTCCATTTGGCTGATTTCATAGGACTGAAAAATTACCTGGGTAGGCTGAACTGGAATGACCTTACTATGGGTCAGGTAGGTAGTGATGGTTACCGATACGACATTTTCCAGAGCATGGTTCTAACGGCTCAGACAACTTGTGTTCCAAATAAGGAAATCAGATCAAACAAAAATGATCCTAAATGGATGAACAATAGATTAGAGCATCTCACTGGTCAAAAGAGAGGCATGTATAGGCAAATCAAAAGAGGAGAGGGGCAGTTAAGAAATCAATATATTCAGTTAAAGAGAGAAATAAAATAAGGAATAAGGAAAGCAAAAAGAGATTATGAGGTTAAAGTTGCAAGAGAATCGAAGACTAACCCAAAAGGATTATTTCAGGTATACAGAAGTAAGATTAGGGACAAGATAGGCCCACTCAAAAAGTCACTCGGGTTAGCTCACCGACAGTGATAAGGAAATGTGTAGAATTTTAACACTTACTTCTTCTCAGTTTTTACACAGGAAGATACTAGCGATATTCCAGAAATAATAAATTATGTAGAACAAGACAATAGTAAACTATGCACAATTAGGGTCACAAGTGACATGGTCATTAGACAAATAGATAAATTAAAACCTAACAAACCCCCAGGCCCTGATGAATTGTATGCAAGGGTTCAAAAGGAATGTGAAGAGGAGCTTAGTAAACCTTTGGCTAATCTTTTCAACATATCACTACAAACTGGCATGGTGCCAGATAAGTGGAAAATGGCAAATGTGATATCTATTTTCAAAGCA